TACATAGGCTATTCAGCTCTGATCCATTATGTACATATATACACACACACACACACACACACACATACACACGTATACAAACATAATGAGAATATGCATTTACACCGCAACTTCTCTCGAATTTAAATGTTTCTTTTCAAAAATGAGAGAAAAAATAGACAAGAAAAAAAAATGAATTTATGATATGATTAGTTATGTAGCGAAAAAGAGAGAGAGAGAGAGAGAAGAATTGACAATTATCTTAGCGAACTAGTCATGTTAAGAAAAACATGCGAGTAAACTAGTCATTGTTTGATGACTAATATAAAATAGACAATTTATAACCGCCGTAAGGCAGAACAAAAATACTCTAGTTGATTAGTCATAGAAATTTTTTCTGTTCAAAAGTTGAATAATAAATTTTTTACGTCCAATACTAGAATATGTTAAAGTATGATTTAGTACGATAACAAAAAAATAATGAAATGTCAGTAGTATAAAGTGTAGATGAAAAAAGTGAAACGAATGTAATTTTGCAATTAAAGGACAAGGACTCAACTCAAGTGTCTTAGTAATGAAAATGAGTAAAAAAAAATATGAATCATGGAGAAAAGAAAGGTAGCAACAGAGTATGTCTCATATGAATTTCTAGACGTAATAGTCGACAAAAGACAATCTACCATTTGAATGTAGGCGTTACTCATCTGTTTTTTAGCATAGGTGAACAAGATTGTTTCAACGAAGCGAGTATGAGACTTGAGAGACATCCTCGAGACAATAGATCAAAAACTATTCATCTCTAATTTTTAGTTTAAAATAAAAATGATAACTTTCTTCAACAATTTGTAATTGTTTTACAGTTGTATTTTATATTATCAAACACAAAAAAATTGAATTTTACTATGCTCAAATTATTCGGTTTCGGTGATAATTCCGAGAATAAAGTCGATGAAAATTTGAGTGGTCATATTGGTGAAATAAAAAAAGAAAATGTAAAAAAACTGTTGATTATCGATCCGGGTAATACCAATTGGTATCAAATTTTTAAAGATTCTAAATTAGATGATGGAACTTCTATACAAATAGAACAAGCTGATTGGTCAGAAATAAGCATGACATGTTATATGCCACCTTCTAGTTCAACATGTTGTTGTACATTATGTCCAAGTTTAAAACCACATCCTAATACATCTATGAATAGAACACGAATGTTTCAACCAGATTTTTTATTAATTCGATCCGAAGTTCGTGGTGTAAAACCGTCTCAAGATTATCGAAATATTTTATATGGTTTTGAATATGCTGATATTCCATCAATCAATAGTTTAACATCAATTTATAATTTTTGTGAAAGACCATTAATTTATGCACAACTATTGAAAATACATAAACGTTTAGGACAAACACAATTTCCTTTAATTCAACAATATTATTATCCTGTACATGAGGAAATGCTTATAACACCAAGTTATCCAATTGTTGTTAAAATGGGTCATGCTCATGCAGGTTATGGAAAAATAAAATTAGATAATCATAAACAATTTGAAGATTTTAAAACATGTGTAGCATTAACTTCATGCTATGTCACAGCTGAAACATTTTTAGATGGTGATTATGATATTAGAATACAAAAATTAGGAAATAATTATCGTGCTTTTAAACGAACAGCTGTGTCAGGCAGTTGGAAAACAAATACGGGTACTTCGTTTATTGAATCAATTGAAATGACAAAACAATTTAAGATGTGGGCAGATGAATCATCAAAATTATTTGGTGGATTAGATATTGTAACAGTTGATGCTATTCATTGTATAACTGATGATAAACTCTATATTCTAGAAGTAAATGGAACTTCAAGTGGTTTTGGTGATTATTGTGAAGAAGAAGATAATAAGATTCTTAAAGAAATGGTATTAGAAAGAATGAATCACCTATTTATTGACAAAAAACAGAAATAAACACTATAAAATCAAACATATAATTTGTCGATAAAAACTGTATATACTGTAGTTGTCAAACAAAATTATAATTTTGCCTACACAATATATTTTAGTTACGTGAATTTTTTTCTTGATAAAATTACTGTTATAACGGGTGGCGCATAATAAACGGGACACTTTTGTTCTTTATGTTTAAGCCACTTTCGAATGATCTGAAAATCTGGTTCTAGTCTCATTCGATAGAGACTTGAATTCTCTACAGAACCT